CCTGCTCCGCCTGCTCCGCGCTCCCTGCGCCCAGGCGGGGCCGCGCCGCGGCCGGGCAGCGCTGCCGCCGGGCACCGGGCAGGGGAGCCTCCCCCGTGCCCTTTCCTCCCCGGGAGGGGCGAGCCGCGGAGCTCGGCGGAGCCCGCCTGCCCGTTGCCCGTGGATCCGGCGGATCCCGGCCCCGGGAACAAAAGGCCGGCACCGGCGAGCGGGGCTTTTCGTATTCCTCCCCCCCTCTTCCCCGCCGCGTCCGCCGGCTGCCTTCGCTCCCAAGCCCCGAGCGGGCAGCGCCGCCCGCTGCAGAGGGCGGCTTTGCCCCCGTTCCTGGCGGGGACCGGGCACCGCAGCCCCGGGCTGCCTGTGCACGCACCGCCCCGCGCCTCTCCCGCGGCTCTCGGGGAGCCCAGCCTTTCCCCAAGGACCCCGCCGTCGTTCCGCGTTTCTCCGCCCGCCGCAGACCCGGGGCTCCCTGCCGGGCTTGGTGGCGGCTGGGCCGCTCGGTCCCCGTCTGTCGGTGCCCCGCCGGGGCCGCTCCCCCCCGCCCCGGACCGCTCTGCCTTCGTAGGTCTTTCTAAAGGGCACTGCCTGGCCCACGGCTTTCCGCTGCTCCCCTCTTCTCCGCCGCTCTGCCCTCCTCCCCAGCGGTCCCCAGCTGCACTAAAGGCTTTCGCCTTCTGCGGCCCTTCATTCACACAAAGAAACTTCGTAGAAAAGTCAGGGCCAAGTCTCTATCCTAAGGCATTTGTTTTAAGAAGCAGGATACCATGTCCGCATGCAAGAATTTATTGATTTTTCTCTCTTGCTTCTTTTTTTTTTTAAACTTTTTTTTTCTTACTCAATGACTTACAAAAATTAGCTGAAGATATTTCCATAAGTAATTTTGAAGGCCAATTAATGCCAGACAGTTCCCGGTGGGCAGGTCTGTGGAACAGAGGAAGTTTTGCAGAGACCTAGTCAGCAGCACAGTGCCGAATGGAAAAAGCAGATGCATTTGCCAGTTTTCTGATGGCTCTCACTCCCGCTGTTCCCTCACGTAACATCTGATCTCACGGAGATGAATGTCCCTCTATTCCCACACGCAGGCAGGTGGGTAGGTTTGCGTGCTCCATCTTTCGCTTGGTCTCCTAGATGGAGCAATCCTGATGTTATTCCTTGTTTTTCTTCTCCTCGTAACAAATCTCGGGATTGTTGTAAGCTCTGCCTACTGAGATGTACTTCAGGAGAAAATGCTGGCCAAACCTGCCGCAGCCACCTTGAACAGAAGAAATTAAGCGTAGTGCATAAAATTGTGGATGGGACTCATACAAAACATTTGTAGGAATAAATTTTCCCACTTTCAATATTTCAACAGCTTGCAGGAGAGAACTTGCACTTATTAAATGTCTTCACAACAGCTTTCATGTTAGGGAAGGACTGAAAGCTTTTGTTTTTTTTCAGTTTTCCTCATGGCAATAAAGTTGAAATGTAGCAGCCCTTCAAAATGAAGCTTCTCATAGAAGTTGTAACCACAGGTCTTAACTTTTCATCACTTAAATATGGAACAGAACCATTGCAAATGTGGGTGAGGGAAGGAGGGGACACATGTGGTGTGTATCAAGCATCGGTGTAAATCAGAAAGGTGTGGTAAAAGGGATTTCCTGCCTGGAAGCAAAGCTTTCGTATTTGTTCTTAAGATCTGTGTGCAAACTCCAGGGCTAGAGTTGCTGGTAGCTCGCATCTTTTTGTGCTGAGGCTGCACTGAGGGCTTCACTAGAGGGATCCAGTTCTCCAAAATGAAATCCTGATGCCACTGCAACTCTCTGCCCTGCTGTACTGGATCTGAGCAGCCATCTTCTTTCAGAGCACTGGTCTGGTTTTTGTTCCCTCATCTGTGGCTCGCCCGGGACCTGCGTGGGATCAGGGCATGCACAAATGTACAAGCAGATGCCCTTGCTGTAAAGAACTTGCAGCCTGAGCAGACAGCACAGAAAAAAAGATGCCAATCAGCGCCTGAGCGTAGGGGAAGCCAGCAAGCGTCCTGCTAGGTAGCCTTCCTCCTCCACAAGTTATCTGGGGTGGTTGGGGTTGTTTTCCATGTCTGTGGCCTTTTTTATGTCCAGCATCTATTTTCTGAAATTTCTTGTCTCAGCTTTAGTGGCACGGGAGTGGGGAAGAAGTGGGGGGGCGCGATTAGTTAAAAAAGTCAGAAAATAATGAGAAGAGAAATCAGTGAATCTCTGTCTTATGCATCACCTTAGTGATTTTTAGTTACATGACAAGCGATAGTTTGGTTGTTTTCTGCTTTGAGTGTTTGTCTTTTTGCCTGTTCACCCTGTGGGTGCACAGATACTCCAGGCCCGTGACCCCAGTGTCTGGGCTCTCTTTGCAGCCCCCGCGGGTGTTCCCTGCCTCGTGTTCCCATGTGGCCTGTGCATAGATGGGGAGGGAAGGGCACATCTTACGTTCCTCTCAGCTGCAGCAGCTCAATAGGGTGCGGGACTGAGAGGTGAAGGGCACCTGTACGAGACTGCTCGGAGAACTGCAGTCACTAGTGAGTAACTCTGTGAGTGGTAGTCACATTACAGGCAGCTGCATTCCTCTGCGTGCTCACAGGCTACCCCAATGGGGCCATCTCAGGCATTCAGGTGGGCAGCAGCAGCAACAGGACTGCTTTACAGCATCCTTCATGGATCGTCTGCCCTGTGACCATGCTTGCTGGAGTTTGAATGAATCTCTGTACAGGGATCTTTGCGCTGTAAATCCCCCTCTGCCACCCTGTTGCCCTCCAGACCGGGTATTCTTCACTGCTGCCTTTGATAGTCTTTTCTATCTCTGTAGTGCTCCACCTTCCTGATGACTCAGAGATTCGCCCTACTCTTTCCCCTCTGTTTAAATTTCTATTTATTTCCCTTTCAAACTGTTACAGCCATGCATACCTCCACCTGAAAATTGCCTTTACCTAGACCTGCCTTTGGGCTCACCAGCCCATCTTTTTCCTTTGCTTTCCTCCATGGAGAGTGTGGGTGCTCTCTGAGGGTTATAGTAATTGTTTTAGACTTGTATCTAAAATGTACTTAATTTTCCTGAAACAAGGTGTTCCCTTTAGGCTTCAGGGTCATTCTTGTACAAATTCTTCCTGGAAGCACAGACCTGGAAGTATTGTGTAATACCAGGTGTGTACGGCGTCTGTCTTTTGTAACTCTGAACAACCTCACCCCAGTCCAGACCAGTCATGTTTGGGCAGTAAAGGTAACAAAGTGGTGAGCGATCTGTGGTGGCAGCCTGTGGTGCCCAGGAAGAGGCTGCGTGTGGCAACTTGTTTCAGCACTGCATATAAAGCTGGCACAGCAGTTTCATCACCTGGTGGCAGGTTTGTCCGTACCTGACAGAGCAGCTTGTAAAAGCGATTGCCTGTGATGAATGGTTTAAGTGAGCCACAGGGTGTGCAGTCCCTCTTGATGGTAGCGTGGCTATATGTACCCCCTGAACTTTGCTGACTATGAGAAGGTCATCTAACTAATCTCTTATATTAACACCTCAGCCTATAGTGTACACCAGGTGGCTGCCATCCCCTGCAGCCCCTACTTTGCATGGTCAGTCCTGGAGTCCACCCTATTTGGATATGGCATTGGCCAGCCTGAGCTCTGTTAGAAGCAGAAAACCAGTTTAATGTATGTCACGTTCTGTGGTACCAGGAGGTGGGGCTGTGCCAGAGACTTTTTGACATTTGATGATCAAGAGGGGTAATGTTTTTAGCCCGAGACACTTTTCTCTCCCTTAAATGGTGTTTCTCTGTATGTGCCCTCCTGAGTTTGTTTTTCTTCACCAGCTGTGCTGAGAGTAGTGCTTTGTTATCTGGAGATGTGTTTCTCTCCTGCCATGGGCACATGTCTGATCCCTGGGCAGGTACCAAGATGTAAGGTCTCATGCTCAGTCTATGTAGTAGACCTGCTTCTCCTTTTGCTATTGAATTGTCTACCAAGCAATCCGTTTGTCCTGTCCTTTCAACTGCCTCACACATGCCAAGGACCAGTTGGGTCTGAGGAATGGGATGATAAGAAACATTTGTCTCCAGGAAAACAGGCTTGAGCAGCTCCTTTTGGGAGCAAACACACAGGGCAACCTTTTTGCTCAGGCTATAGTTGGTGGTACAAAACCTCTTCTGAAGTTGGGTTTGCTAAAACCTGACTCACATGCTGCCCTGGAGCTTGGTGTTGGAGTGTTACATGTGATGTGGAGACCTGGTGTTAGTTCAGCAAGGGTGCTGCAGGTGCTGTCTCCATGCCTGAACCTAAAGCCCAATTTGGAAGCTCCCTGCTGGTGCTACAGTGTGAGTTTGGTGGGCTAATGTGGAACCTGCTCATCTGCCGGGTGGTCCTCAACTGCCTCTCAGCTGGAAGCCACACAGACCAGCTTTGGACAACCTGTGGTGGCATAAACATTGCTTAGAGTTTCCCCCTGTGCATATGTGCTGTGAAGGAGAAATCAAGGGAGAAAGAGAAGTTACTCGTAGCTGGAGTTCTTCAAGATATGTTGGCCCAAGCGCACGGCTCATCCATCCTGTCCCTCAGGCTTTGTGTAGCCTATTGGGCTTGTGTGGCTGAGAAGAGACCAAAGGACATTTACCACACACAACCAGTATGGGCCTCTGTGGGTCACGGGAGGGAGAGGGGAAGGGGAGCACATATGCATGCTGTAGGTAGTGCGTCAGAGAAGTTTCTGAGCTGAAGTGCATATGGACAACACATTTCAAAAATACTCTCTTAATTACTGGTAAGTTACTTCCTTCTATTTTATCTCCTTTTTTGGAGAGGATACTGGGCATCTGGAAAAATGGCCGATTACCACAAACAACTGGAAAAAGACATGTTTCTTATGCCTTCCATACCAGTCAGGAGATTTTGCCATATAGTGTGGGAAACTTCTCATTATGCTGTGTAATTCTGGCATAGGTTTTC